CGGCGTCGGGGCGGGCGCGGCCGCCAGGGCCGCGCCATGGCTTCCCCGCCAGGTCTGAGTTTCCTCATGCAGGAGTTCAGCGTTTCGTTGGCCATTTCATGAGTTTTAATGTTCCGAGTATATCCAGATGGATTCGCAGGTCTAAAATGAGATCTATTCCCGCCTTACCTGCGGTGAGTGGAACGAGCGTGCAGGTCTGCGCTGGGCCATGCCGGCCACGTTTCTGCGTGCGGTGGGGACTAGGTAGGAAGGGGCCACAGAGGCAAACGATGGCCCCTTACTTTCTGAGGAAGTTGCCACTTAAATGCAGCAAGAACCAGGATTTTTAGGGGCTTTTTCAGTGTTTGCAGCGTTCTTTCCCCAGCTGGGCTTCCGATGGGGGCAGTAGGGAAGGCAGGAGAGCTTTCCCTTGGAGAGCACGTCCTGCCGTGCGCCAGCAGCTCCGAGGCCTCGGAGGACGCGGCGTGTTTTTCCTGCAGGTTTTGGAGAAGGAAGCCGTGATGTTTTGATTGGGGCTAAGCTGCCTTACATCCTTCTAGATAAAAGAATGTGTTTTGAAATGCAATGTGTTTATATTCCGCAGATTGGGTAGCCGGTCAGGATCAGCGTTTTCGTCTCGCTCTCCCGTGTCACTAGTTGATTCAGAGATTTACCAGCATCAATTGACATCAGTGCGAGCACCTTTCCCCGCCAGGTCTGAGCGTCCTCACACAGGAGTTCAGCGTTTCGTTGGCCATTTCATGAGTTTTAATGTTCCGAGTATATCCAGATGGATTTGCAGGTCTAAAATGACATCTATTCCCGCCTTACCTGCGGTGAGCGGAGCGAGTGTGCAGGTCTGCGCTGGGCCATGCTGGGCGCGTTTCTGCGTGCAGTGGGGACCAGGTAGGAAGGGGCCACAGAGACAAACGATGGCCCCTTACTTTCTGAGGAAGTTGCCACTTAAATGCAGCAAGAACCAGGATTTTTAGGGGCTTTTTCAGTGTTTGCAGTGTTCTTTCCCCAGCTGGGCTTCCGATGGGGGCAGTAGGGAAGGCAGGAGAGCTTTCCCTTGGAGAGCACGTCCTGCCGTGCGCCAGCAGCTCCGAGGCCTCGGAGGACGCGGCGTGTTTTTCCTGCAGGTTTTGGAGAAGGAAGCCGTGATGTTTTGATTGGGGCTAAGCTGCCTTACATCCTTCTAGATAAAAGAATGTGTTTTGAAATGCAATGTGTTTATATTCCGCAGATTGGGTAGCCGGTCAGGATCAGCGTTTTCGTCTCGCTCTCCCGTGTCACTAGTTGATTCAGAGATTTACCAGCATCAATTGACATCAGTGCGAGCACCTCGTATCTGTCTCCTTTGATTTGTCATTAGTGCAGTGATTTATATCCTGTTATGGAAAGTACAGAACTCGGGGTTTAAAGCAAACTAGCATGCATTAATAAAATTACCCCGGAGGGAGATAAATTACATTCAGCGTTTGCATTGGAAGTAATACATGCCAGCTGTTTACTCAGAGGAGAATATTACAGGATTTGTCAGTTGTTGCAAAGTGAGAGGAGCCAAATCCGTTCGTGGTGCCGAGGACTTGCACCACAAGGACCCGGCCGAGCGGGAGAGCTGCAAATTCTAATTTTGGCTTTCATTTTCCTGAAACCGTGAAAAATCCTGCTTGAGCTTCTCATGAGACTAACGCTCTCGATGCCGAGAGTGATGTCAGTGCAAGTTTCAGAGGTTTCTTAACGTTATGACCAGGCCATAAAAGGAAGAGGAATATGTATTGAACATCCTGTGTTTTGTCCTTGGTATCAGCTTAAGTAAATCTGGCAGATTTTTCCTGTTATTTTGTTAAAACTGCAGATCAGAGGAACAAACAGAATTGCTTTTATGCATTAACTAAGAAAGCGCAATATGGAAATAGGTAGAGAAGCAGAGTGCAGAAACCCTTAGTGAGCTCGGGCAGTGCCCAGGTTGGGAGGTCCCCAGGCAGCTGCAGCGCTGAGACCCCATGGGCTCCCCAGCCACGGGCCTGGGGCACCGAAACGGGCCCGAGCACATTGCACACAAGCCAACGCCACGTGGCTTTCCCATATACTCGACCCTTTGTAACAAGAGTGGCCTCGTTGCCGCGGGTCCTTTCGGGACAGGGCAGAGTGGTGCCGGGAGGTCTCCAGGGGCATCTCCCAGCTGCGGGCACGCCGTGCCCCTTCCTTTTGGCCCGGCCTCGCTGCTAGCAGCGCTCGTGCCGGTCCCACGCGGCCCGAGGCTCCAGGTGGCACCTCGGGACACGTCGCTGCCGGCGTCTCCAGCGCCTCTCGAGTTGCTCTGGGCGGGCAGCGCCGGCGGGCTTGCGACGTGCACGGCCCCGTGCGTGAAGGGCTGCATGGAGCAGAAGCAAAAGACTGGATAACGCTGGCGCTCGTGCTGGCCAGAGCCCCGCTCGGCGGAGCAGGGAAAACTGCATCCCAGCCCGCCCGGAGCCGCACGTCAGCCCCAGCCCCAAGGACGGCGCGTGGGGCCAGGCGTCCCGCAGCGGCGCAGGGCACGTGCAGGACAGTGGCTTGAGCTGGAAACGGTGCCCCGAGCTCGTGCCATGAGTGCAGGCCGCAAGGTCTGGCTAGTTAGCGTGGAGATGGGTCGCACGAGCCGAGCAGGTCGTGGTGCTTCGGGCTTCAAACGAGCGTGTGGAGCCCTGTTCCTCCAGACTGCCAAATAGCAAAGCAATGCTAAAAGGTAGCGATTGTGCGCAGGAAATTTGGAAATTCAATGATAAAGCGCTGGAGAATAACGCAGGTTTGATTTTTGAAGGCTGCAGTGCTATAGCAATGCAGGTAACCCGGGACCAGCAAAGCTGCAGCAGAAAGCAGAAGTCACCTTAATGCCCTGCGCGAGTCAAACCAGGGCTGCCCAACTACCAAGCAGCCCAGTGCGTTCCCCAGCGAGGTCACCTGCAGCGCCGCCAGCGAGAGCGGAGCCGCGG